ATCCACTCTCACATGGTAAAGGAAAATTTGCACGCTTCTGCCCACGATGCCATCAAACAGGCTTGCCGTCGATCTGAGCCGCGTCCGGCCTCAATCGATGAGCTATGGAATGAATGCAAGGGCCAATTGAAAAATTTGATGCGGATCCAGCAGGAAAGGGAGACGATCGAGTTTGTGTCTGAGATGCACTCAACCAACTTCTAGATCGGCCGAGCTATGGAAAAACACATGGTGATGATGGTTGGGGAGGCCGTGAAGCTTCGTTATGAGCTTGTGGATGCAGAGAAGAGGGCCATGGCCATGGCAGCAGTTTCAGGTCTTAATCTGGGTTTTGGATTCGATTTGATCACATACTGAAAAGTTTGGAATTTTTTTCAAGTCAGTATTTATATGACATTTATTAGTTGTTTATATGTTGGAGTTATATACGTGATGTAAGCTATGATTTTTTAGATATCGTATGAACTTTTGTGGTGTTAAAACACTGTTATAAATGGTTCCAAAATATGGGTTACGTTAAATGAATAATCGTTGTATATTAAGTTTATATATGTTGTATATAATACGTTTACTTCCACGTGCCGTGTTAAAGAAATTATACAATATTTATATATTCCAAGAGCCACACAATAGCATCTAAAATTTAATGATTGCATAAGAATTTCGTTGTTTTGCTCAACGAAAATTCAATTTATACTTGGTTTATATCCTATAACTATGTATAAGTAGGAGTATTGCTATAGAACAAACTGTTGGTTCCATAATGAAGCCAATCTATTATAAATAGTAAGTAGAGAGTATCATATTCTATAATCAAATAAAAAGATACAAGCAACAACAACTTGATAAGAAATATAACAATATTGAAAAAGTAAAAGTAATTATATTCTTAAATTTGAATAAAAAAATAAATACTACAAAATGTTTGTAATATCATTTAAATCATTTAAAAATTCTTTGAATCATTTTAATTAAACATTAAAATTAATAATAATATGTACAACTAAGTAGTTTATATAATTCCAAAACTAGTAAAAACGTTTTGTAGTATTTTTTTTTAAATATAAAGTGCTTTTATTTCTATTGTGGTTGAGTAGTTATTAATTGTATTTTCTTACTAAATAGTTGTTAACTAGAAATAATATTTTCTTATTAAGTAGTTGCTAAATGTGTTTTCTACAGAAATAATATATTTTTTACTTGCTATGTATAGGAGGTTGGCTCCACTATGGAGCCTACTGTTGGTTCCATAACAAAACTCGTATAAGTAGATATATATAATTTACGTATTCGTAACATATAAGTAGATATATACAATTTACGACTTCATATATATTATACAATGTCAAAACCGACCAGGTCGGCAATTATAATAAAAAGATGTCAAAGCTTAACGACGAACTTCATAATCTTGTGCAAGACGGGCGTCAAACTAATTTCAATTTATGTTGCATTTATAGTCTGTATATTTTCAGTATATGTTGCATTTTTATTTACATAACGTTTAATAGACTCTGGCGGCAGGTATGCCAATCCATCGGTCTGCTAACCGATGCCGAAGTCATCCAACCTGTGCGTCGTCGGTTTCCGACCGATGATTAAGANAAAAAAATAAATAAAAAAATAAAAAAAATAAAAAAAATCAATCTTGTCACGGGCCTTTGACCCCAAATGCAATGCTGAAATTATCGCTGCACGTACAAAATTACGGGCCTTAAGGTATAAATCCGATAGAAACTAATAAAGGCCCAAACAAACAAAACTGTATCGGCCCATTTCAACTGGTTCGTCTTCCACGTGCTCTTGTCTTGGGGTTCAAAATTCAAAGCTAACTCAAAACCTCTATCGGTCTCACTGTCCACTGATCAGCTGAAACCACCACCAGTTATGGCGATCGACACCGTGCCGCCGCTCATCAATGCCCAGATTAACTATCTCCTCAGCAACTGTCCTTTCCCTGTCAAGGTCTTGCATTTCACTCCCAGAAATCTGTATATTCGTGCTTGCATGTATTTTTTACGATGGTTCGCTTAAATATTTGTTTTGCAAATGGTAGCAAAAAATAATTTGTGCCCTGGGACTATGATTTTCATTTTGATTCAAAATGGGAAAAAAATGTTGCAGGTGGAGCAAATTTGGTCCGGCTGCAAAAACCCTAGCTTGCTCGATCGATTTACTTTGGTCATCCCGTTTTGTCTGGACTATATCAGATGTCAGTGTTCATATATCGATCTTATTTTCATTTTTAGTCTATTTTGGATTTTAACATCTTTTTATGCATTTTTAATTCGGAATTTTGAATGGGATTAGGGGATGTTATATACAATGCAATGTATCCTCTGGCGGCTCCGGATGTAATATTTGGACCCGAAGATGAAAGTTTCCAGCCATATTCTGGTGGCACTGGAAAATCCTCTCATAATAGTTTGGCTGATTGGAACAGCAAGGATCCATCTCGGTTGTTGTCTCTTATTGTCGAGCTTAGGTGATAATATTTTCTCACCATATATGGGTGCAGTATTGAGGTCTATTAAGAAGAATTACTTGACATAATTGATGGTGTTGGNTGATGCATGAGCGGGTGTATTTTTTTTTTCAATTCTGGGTGGTGATCAGTATTCGACTCTGTTTAATCGTGCTTATAAATGTGTGCTTTTGAAGTTGTAACCACATGTCTTTCACTTATTTTGAATTCTATTTGTGAATAAGATATTTAATGGTAGATGCCCACTTCGGAAAATATCGCATTGTTACAAATTACGTGGTGGAATATATCGTGCAGATGTGTTTAAAATTTTGATGTATTTGGTTGGATATATATTGGACCTTACTATTATCAATAAGGGATTAAGGGTACAATTAAGATTTTCTGACTCCATAGGTCATTTTGGTATTTCAGAATATTCTGATGTCTTCAATTCAACGTGCAAAAGAGAGAAATTTTGTGGTCTGATGTTATTTTCAATTATTAGTTTGATATCTTAGATTTTAGGATATATCCATAAATAGGAAGAAAGAAACCATTATGAATTGAAGAAACTTGTGCTTCCATACCTTTTCCATCTGTGTTATTGTTTTCTGTGGAACTCTGAGGTGCCCGTTTTCTTAACAACTTTTTATTTCTAAATATTCAGGGAATGGAAATGTATTTGAGTTCAGGCACTGACAAGGTAACTGTTGTTGATAAGCCTGTTTGGGGCCCCATCCAACAATTTAGAAGTATGCAAATTGATATCAAATCTTACTTCTCTGTTGGTTATTTGGCCATTTGATTTTAGTGTAGCCTGAAGAGGTTAGATTTGCGATTCCATTGCTGGACCAGGATTTATATAAATTAGTTGCTGGATCCACATGGAGACATCCACAAAAGATTTACTTACAGGTTGGTTAAAAGAAAAATCAAACGAAGGCCCAATACCTTGATTATACTGCTGAGAGACATATTATCACACGATTATTATCGGTGGATATGTAAGGAGCAGGTGCCAGACTGGCCTTATCTAGTGACGTTTGAGTCACTATTAGTAATCGAATATAAATAATTGGCAGCCTGCTTTAGCATTGTGTATGTTCAGGTTGATAAGCATTGAATGTAATTCTATAGGTGTGTGTGTGGTTTGGAAGAAAACACTAGCGTCTGTTCATTCCATAAATTTCTTTCCAACATCACGTTCACTTATAGGATTCCATTCAATGCTTATCAGTTATCACATTACTTGGAGTTCTGATTTGTATCAACTATATATCGTTTTTTCTCTATACGCAGTGCTGCATTTTTATTCTCATCTTCTTTGTGTTATTTTCCATTTCCTCTATCAAGCCATCCTTCGTATTTCACTACATCCTCTTTGTAATGTTTGTAGATTGTGTTCCCGGTTGGTAAAAAGTATTCCACTGCTCCACCCGCACGTCCGAAGTTGATTTCTACTGCAGAGTTGAAAGCTTTATTTTCTATTGAAGATTTTAGACTTCCTCCTTGGTCAGATGGGATGTAAGTATAAATATATGTTATTCGTCAGATTTGTCTCTTTGGATTAGTTTTGTTCAATTGGTTTACTACATTGGACTTTTAAGTTGGTTAAGCCTATGTATCTTCATTTTATATCTGATCTATCTCCCTCTATAGGTGTATAGCTGAGTATCTTCCAATTTTGGAGGAGATGCTAGGATCACAGGTTTGCTGTGTTTCTTGCTCGTTTATGCTCCCAACTTAATCATTTAAATTAATCGATAACAGAGACGGGTTGCTTAGATCTATGTTATAATAGTTCACTTTGTATTTTGACAGATGAAAGATGCAGTCACATCAGTTGAAACAAGAAGGAAGTTTATCTCAGCATTGGCACCTCTCTTTGGAAGACCAATAGAAGCTGATCCGGTGCGCACTCTTCACTTCAGCAGTTGAACTCCTGAGGATTGGGTTTTCATCTTCTTAATGATTATATTTTATATGATAAAAAAAATGCTTAGGTCAACATTTTGTATTTCCAGGTATATTGTAGGAGGGCGACCTTCCTGGCTTCTTCTGGGGTATTCAATTTTCTGGTAAGAGATATGTGTTTGCACTTTATGGAATATCTGCTTTTATTTGTAATGCATTTGAGGAAACATTACTCAACATTCATGGACATATCGTGCTGAAACTGTTCATTTATCTGCTTTTTGTTTCATGAGGAATAACCGGTTTTATGTCGTGGGCACCTGGGATTTCCTTGTTTTGCATAAGCTTTGGCTAATGGTTAATAGACTCGTTACAATACTCATTACAATATGCATTCTCTCTGTGTGCAATCTCTCTCTCTCTCTCTCTCTCTCTCTCGCGTGTATATGATATCCCATTTCTTTCGAATTTTGATGGACATTGTTGTGTTGCATTTCCAGTTAATGTTTCAGACGAAAATTTGTCAACATTATTCTGTAGTGACGGTGATTTACTAGTGTTAGACTTACAGATTTTAGCAAGTTTTAAATCATACAATCCTTTCATGTCAGGTCCACTTTTCCATCTCGCTTCAGTTCCCAAAACAGCAACCAGCTTTAATGCTTCAGAGTTCCCAGGTTAGGATGTTCTGATCCTATTAGTAGCTCGTAGGTTGACACTCTTAATTTTCCCAATTGCTTTCATATAAAAAAGATCAGGTTCAATTACCCATGATGTTTACCGTAATCTTACAGAAACTCAGTTTATGGACGAAACTACATTTACCCTCTTTTGATTTATTCCCAGATAATATAAGCAAACCATTTTTTTTTTTTTTTTTTTTTCATTTTTTTTTTTTTTTTTTGCATCTAGAATTAGGTGAAAGTGTGAAACATTGACTTGGGAATTTTTGCAGCACTTTAATTCCCAGGGCATTCCTGTCAAATCACCTAGCATAACCGAGTATCCATGGAGTCCCAGGTGGGGACCATCACAAATGGCCGAGCGGCTTTTGTAAGTATCTGTTTCACTGGGGTTAAAAAAAACAAAATCACCTGGTGTAAAATGTACTTTTAAGTAAGTAACATTCTTGTGGTTTGTTGTGGCAGTGACTTCCTTGCGGACGAGTCGTTAAACTTCAAGAAGTACTGCAATCAGTTAAACCAGCAATAAGGGCTTTTGCTTTGGCAGCAGGTTTATCGTCTATCCTGCAAAGTCATGCTCTGTTTTGGGTGTTTAGGGTTACCCTGTATTATATTGCAATTGGCATCTTCTGTTTTTCGACCAAGTTAGTTTTGTTTTCTGAATGTAAAGTCGGAACAAATCGTGCCGTTGATGTGTAGGCGTGACGTGCACTTGGTTTTTGTATCGTGTATTATTGGAGAATTATACTAACTTTGACCTGGTTTTGCTAATGCACTGTCACATGAAAGTAGAATGGGAAAAGTAGGATTGTGAGCTGCCTCTTCATGACCATTTGGATGTTTGCAGGAAAAAAAAAATCTTCTTTGGGGAATAAATTGATAAATTATATGGAAACAAAAAGATTAACTGGTGTGTGATGTTTGTAGCTATAGTTTTGATGATGAAGCTCGTTCTTCAATTTGGCACGGACTTTCAATTTTTGCAAATCAAAAGGTATAAATCAATCATTGAAGGTTACATGTCTGGCTCATCATCTACAAATTGTAAATGAAAAAAATAAATAAATAAATAAAAATACAACAACAACACTTCAAAGGCCCTAAATTATTTTACATTTCATACTTATTCATGCACGTTAATAGAGAACTTGGGTTGAATATACAACAAATAATAATAGATTTCAAAAATTCTAGATGTGTAGAATACAACCCTATTTTTTCTTCTCTCATTTGTGAGATGTTTCCTTCTTTCCACATTTCGCTTTCCACGTTAGATAATAAGAGGGACTTGGAAATACAACAACAACACTTCAAAGGCCCTATATGGAATATTTCTCTCTCTAGAGTTTGTTCTCCCAGTGAGATCGGGTTTTTAGGGTTTCGGTCGTTTTTCTCCGTTTTTCATCCCTCTTAGATCGCATTTCCTTGTCTCTCTCTGTTCAGCGGTTTTTCGTCTCTGGTTTGCCTTCTGGTGTCTTTTCTTCCTTGGATCTGGGCTTTATCTCTGTGAGTTGGTTTCGAGGAGTCGTTGGTTAGGGTTTTGTTGGGGCGTTGTGGTAGGGATCTCGGTTTTTCTGGGTGGAGTTTGGAGTTATGGAATCGGAAATATCGGATCAGCTCCAACGATTCGCACTCTCTGAAAAAGAAGAGTCGGGTGTGGAGTTATTTGATCTAGATATAGCTCCTACGATCCAAGACTGTAAACTAAGTCTTATTGGTAAAGTGTTTGGGGAGAAGAAAATTAATTTTTCGGGTCTCAAGGCTACATTAGGTAATCTTTGGACTTCTAAACTGCCATTTTCTATTAGATGCATTGGTTTTAATTTATATCAATTTTTGTTCCAAGCTGAGGAGGATCTTGAGAAGATCCTTCTTGGTAAAACCTGGTCTTTTGATAATCAATATATCCTGCTTAAGAGGTGGTCCCCGGGCCAAGTTGAGTTTAAGGAGGAAGAGGAGAAGATTAAAATATGGGTTCAGATCCATAATCTTCCCCTTCATTGGGTGGCTCCTGAAACAGGGTTTAAATTAGGCAAACTAATTGGTGAGGTGTTAGATGTGCTAGTTCCTTCGGCCGGAAGTTGGGAGGGTAATATTGTTAAGATTCAGGTGGAAATAAAATTAGCTGAACCTATTGTTAGGGGAGCTAAGATTAAGTTGGGTAAGGAATGTAGATGGGTTGATTTTAAATATGAACATCTTCATACTTTTTGTTATTACTGTGGCAAAATTGGCCATAGTGATAGGAACTGTATTGTTAAGAAGGAAGATGTTAAGAAAGGGGTGTTTATGCATGGTCAATTTGGTGATTGGCTAAAAGCAACCCATACTAGCTTTCTGGGGTCTAGAAGTTTTAGTTCCCCCTCTAGGGGTAGTGAGCAGGGTAAGAGTGGGGGTGGGGAGTCAGTTAGGGTTGAGAATCAGAATAGTGGTTTGGGTAATGAAGGGAGTAACCTAGGACCAAATTCCAAAAGTCATGAGGAAGAGGCAATGATTCTGAGATCTGGGACAATAGAAGAGCCTTTGATGACTGATGGGATTTTGGGCAAAGGGAAGGAAATTAGGGAGGTGAATGAGGATGTGATTCTGGAGGAAGACCAGAATAACTCCCAACTCATGGATATTATTGTCCAATCTGCTTCCACTGATAGTAGAAGTCCTCTGAGAAAGAAAAAGGCTATCAGTAGGAAATCCAGGGCTGTTTCTAGACTGGATAAAGGGGGAACTTCTGGGGAGAAAGGAACTGAGAATAAGAGTGGGGTTTCTAGGAATAATTGTTCTAAAAGAACTCTGGATGAATGTTTAGAAATTCATCAGGATCAGGTAGGCATTGAAAATGGTAATAAAAAATTGAAAATGGATGTTTTGACTGAGGAAATGGTGGAGGCAGCCAGCCATAACTGGGCCCAAAGTTATCAATGAAAGTTGTGGTGTGGAATTGTAGAGGGTTGGGGGGACCCTCTACAATTTCCCAAATCAAAGAGTCTTTGAAGACTCACCTCCCAGATTTTTTATTTTTAGCTGAAACAAAAAAAAAGAAAAATTTGTGCAAACTGTTTGCAAAAAATGTAAGTTTGATGATAGGTGGGCAGTTGTTAACCCCTTAGGCACCAGAGGGGGTCTTTTGTTAAGCTGGTCTATTAATATTGCGGTTGATAAAATCCTGTGTTCTGAATTTTGTATGGAAATCTCGTTCAAATTTAAAAATAGTGATGTTTCCCAGTAGGGGGTGTTTGTTTATGCTAGTAATAACCAAGCTGAAAGAATGTCTCAATGGAATTTTTTATTAAGACATAGTTTGATGTGGGGTAAAAACTGGTTTTTGGGGGGAGATTTTAATGATATTTTGTTTAATTCTGAGAAGAATGGGGGGGTTAGGATAGAGGAGAGTAGTTTCTTTGGGTTTAGAACTTTGGTCAGAGGGTTAGGAGCTGTTGAAAGTAAAGTGTTAGGACATCCTTTTACTTGGTCTTATCATAGACAAGGATCTGAGTTTATTGAGGAAAAATTAGATAAGTTCTTATTTTTCCCTGATTGGATCAGGATGTATCCTAATGCTGTTGTTTCTCATATCCCTCTTCACTCCTCTGATCATTGCATGCTTGTTCTGAATGTAGAGGGTTTTGTGCAAAAGGGTCCCAGAAGATTCATCTTTGACAATAGATGGGTTGAGAATGAGGGTTTCAATGATGTAGTTTCTAAGGCTTGGAACTTACCTGTGGGGGGGCATAGTCTTTTCAGTATCCAAAGCAGAATTAGAAATGTTAGGAAAGCAATCCTTGGGTGGATTCCTACTTTTGCCCATAATTCTGCTAAGGAAATTGAGAGACTGAAGGGGAAATTGAGTGAGGTTGAGGTTTTTGGGGCTGATAGGGATTGGGAAGAGTGGAGAAGTTGTAGAAACATGCTCCACATCGCTTATAAGAATGAGGAAACCTTTTGGCACCAAAAAGCTAGAATTACTTGGTTAAGTTGTGGGGATAAGAATACTAAATTCTTCCAGGCTTCTGTGAAGCAGAGAAGAAGGGGTAGTGGTTTAGAGAATTTGTGTAAGGGTGATGGGCTCAGATGTGGGAATGTTCAAGAAACTATTGATGTTCTTGAGAATTACTTTAACAATCTGTTCAAATCTTCTAACCCTAGGGTTAATGATTGCAATCTTGAGGGTATTCCAGTATCTATTTCTCAAGATATGAATATTAGTCTTACTAAGAAGGTGTCTGAGAAAGAGATCTGAGAGGCCCTTAGTGATATGCACAAAGACAAGGCACCTGGGGAAGATGGTTTAACAGTGGGCTTCTTTCATAGTTCTTGGTCTATCATTAAAGATCATGTGTGTGAGGCTGTGACTAATTTCTTTCTGTGTGGTAGAATTCCTAAGGGCATTAATCATGCCATTATTACCCTCATTCCTAAGAATAAAAATCCCACTTTGATTACAGACTTCAGACGTATAAGTTTGTGTAATGTCATGTATAAAATTATTGCTAAATTGCTAGCTAATAGGCTTAAAACTGTCTTGCATGTTTGTGTGTCCAATGCTCAGTCTGCATTTGTTCCAGGAAGACAGATCCTAGACAATGCAATCATTGCTAATGAATGTATTCATTACATCAATAGCAAAAGGACCGGCAAGGATAAATATATGGCTGTTAAGTTGGACATGTCTAAAGCCTATGATAGGATTGAATGGGGATTTATGGCTAGGGTATTTGTGAAGATGGGATTCTGTCATAAGTTTGTGAACTGGCTGTTGGCCTGTGTGTGTTCTAGTTCTTTTAGCTTCAATGTGAATGGTTCTAATGTGGGGTATGTTAAGGCTAGTAGAGGGCATAGGCAGGGGGACCCTTTGTCTCCTTACTTGTTCATCATCGTGTCTGAAGCTTTTTCTAACCTTATTGTCCAAGCTAGAAAGGGTGGGTTGTTCCAGGGGATTAGAGTTGGTAAGGCTGCTCCTGTCATTACTCATTTGTTTTTTGCTGATGACTCTTTGTTACTCTGTAAGGCTAATGCTCAACATGCTCAGATTATTATTAATATTCTGCAAGAGTATGGGGCTGCTTCTGGTCAGTGTGTGAATTTGAACAAATCTTCCATTTTCTTTTCCAAAAACTCTGATAATTCTGTTGTTTCTGAGGTGTGTGGTATCCTTCAGGGGGTTAATTTTGTTAGAAGCTCTAAATACCTTGGTCTTCCTCTGGGAATAGGCAGGTCTAAGAGAGAAACATTCCAATTTGTGAGTGAGGCAGTGAAAAACAGAATAACAAACTGAAAAAATGTTTATTTGAGTGAGGCTGGGAGAGAAGTCTTGTTGAATACTGTGATTGGTGCTATTCCCACATATGTCATGTCTTGTTACAGACTTCCTTTGGCAGTGTGTGATGATATCTGCAAAGAATCTGCTAATTTTTGGTGGGGTAGGAAAAAAGATGGGCAAGGTAATAGATTACACTGGGCTAGATGGGATAGGTTAGCTAAACCTAAGGGTGAGGGTGGGTTAGGATTTAAGGACCTGAAAGCTTTTAATGAGGCCTTATTAGTCAAGCAGCTCTGGAGGGTTTTAACTAAACCTAATCTTTTGATGAGCAGAGTTATTAGAGGTAGGTATTTCCCTAAGCAGAGATTGAGGGATGTGAAAGCTAAAGGGGGGGATTCTTGGATGTGGAAATGCTGGTTAGGTGCTAGGAAATCCTTGAATTTGGGGGCTAGATATAGGATAGGGGATGGTACTACTACTCATATTTGGGATTCTCCCTGGATTCCAGATATTCAAGGCTTTACTCCTGAGTGTAGGTTTCTAGAAGATAGGACTAAGCTGGGTAAGGTTAGGGAGCTAATGGGGGAGAGTGGGGTGAGTTGGGATAAAGAGTTGGTTAATCAAACTTTTGAGCCTGTTACAGCTAGGGCTATTCTTCTTATTCCTCTTAATGCTTTGACTATGAGAGATAGGCTGATTTGGCATGGTCACAGGTCAGGTTTATTCTCTGTTAAAAGTGCTTATGAGTTAATCCTGAAAGGGCAGCAAACTGTGAGGGATAAGGGTTCTAGTAGTAATCAAAGTTTGATTGATAATATGTGGAAGGTTACCTGGAAACTGCCTATCCAAAATAAAATCAAGAATTTTCTGTGGAGATGTTGGCATGGGTTCATTAGTTCTAAGATTCAGCTGCATAAGAGGGGTCTGAGAGGGATAGGATTTGTGAAGTTTGTGGTGAGGGAGAAGAGGATCTGAATCATATCTTGTTTCATTGTCAAAGAGCTAGGAGGTGTTGGAAGTTGATGGGAGTGACTTGGAATAGGATTGAGCAAGCTGGGGTTGATTTTGGGATGTGGTGGGGGGATATTTGCAATGCTTCTAAGGTCAACCACATGATAGATAGGATAAGTCTGTCTACCTATTTGTTATGGTGGCTTTGGAAAACTAGGAATAGTTGGGTTTTTGAGAAAAAATGGATTAAGGAGGATAGAGTAGTGAAATATGCTAGGGATGATTGGCTGTTTTTTGGTGAATGGGGGGGTAGAGTGAGGTATAACAGCTGGCAAGGGAATAGTGCAGGGTGTCCAGACAGTCAGGAAAAGGGGGGTGCAGTGGGTAATGGGCTAGGTAGGGGTGAGGGGAGAGGGACTGTTGAGAAGGTGGATATTGCTGTTAGTTGCTGGGTCAGAAATGGTAGAATGGGTATGGGGGGTAAAGTTTTTAAATCTGACAGGGTTCTACAAATGTGGGATGCATCTAGGGATTTTTTAGGAAATTCAGTGGAGGCTTACAGTGTAGGACTTTGTTGGGTGTTAGATCAAGCCAAAAAGAACAAGTGGAAGAATATAAAATGTCATGTAGACAATAAGGAGATTGTGGAGCTGGTTCAAGGTCATCAGGCAGGATTGGAGCAGCTGGGCAATGTGGATTTGATGTTTATGCCATTGTTGTAACTTTTTAGTCATTATGAATTTGTATTTGATGTTAGTGTTTGTATAGATTGTAATTCGATAGCCAAAATGGCTCTAGAAGGTGATTTGTGAAATCATTCTGTGTTCCCAGTACATTTGTTTGTGTGGTTGGGGATCCTTTGTGCCTATTTAGGCCACGTATTGTAAGACATTAGTTTTGAGTTATTTTATTTTGATTGTCGTTGGAAAAAAAAAAAAAAAAAAATATTTGTTCTCCCCATATATTTTAGGTTATTCTAAATTTAAGATTCAGCTTTATGTTTGACTTCTTAATGTAAATGTAAAGCCCAACTAACTTTAGTTTGTAATACAATCGAACAAAAATATTATTTTTTAAATATTTTATATACTCAATCAAAATAATATCTAATTATATAATTCAAATTCTCTTACCAATTTTTTGAAAATAAGTATTAAATATTTGCAGAAATATAACTTATATGGATTAATTTTTTCATGATAGTAAATTGTTAAATATAATTAACTTTTTTGTCATAAATATGTAAAATATATACTATTAAAATTAATATTATGGTTTACATATTGATGTCAAAAGTAAAGTTAGTTCAACCTTGCATTAAGAAGTTAAATATAAAAGCGAGTATTAATGTAAAAACAAAAAAACCTAAAATAAAATGATATAATTGTAAAAAATTGAGTCTGTGAGCCCCACATTTTGGAGCATAGCAAATAACTCTATCCTGTGTGATATCCAAAAGATCTGTTAATTTTGTTCGGGTAATTCTTTTATAACCTTTTTAATTCAGAACTAGTGTGTGGCCCGTGCGATTGCACGGAAAAACAATATTTTGATTGTATTATAAATTAAATAAAAAATTAACATTATCATGATTTACCCATTATTTTTAATTAAATCGGGTTGGACACAGTCCGACCGTATGGATCGAGAACCGGTTTATAACCAGTATATTGCGCTTGAATAAAATATATGCTATCGAATCCGTCAACATCAGTATGTTGGACTGGTAGGATCGATACGATTTTCTAAACAAATTTTGTTACATTAAAAATTATTTTAAATAAAATTACATATTTAAATAATATAGAGATTTATAAATTGTTTATCAATTAGTTTAAACATTTGAATTTATAAATTTTTTAGATATTTAAGTAACACTTTTTATTTAAATTTATTACAAAAAGTACTATATATATATATATATTAAAGTATTATGTATTAAAATCTGAACAACCACAAATGATTTAATAAAATAACTTGATCGTTTCGATGACGTTCCGGTTCTGAAAACCTTAATTTTAACGTACATTAATAAAAATGATAATAAAATAATTATTTTGTTCACATAAATAATAATAAAATGATATATAAATATTCATAAATTATTAATCATGTTGTCGTAAAAGTATTGTTAATATGATTATTTGAAGTTTGGACTACATAATAAAGTATTTTCAATATTAAAATTTATATTTAGGTTCAATAATCGATTTGGTCTGGTCAAACTGATACATAACTTAGTTACCTGGGACCAACCAAGTTATGTCAAGTTTTTTTACTATTTTAAATATCACCTAAAAGTAATTCAATCAACGTGGGCAATACCCTAATTCAATCACCCGATTGATCCAAAAGTAATTTCATTATTTTCTTTAAATATAATATTTAATTTTATGAAAAAAAAAATTTATGATTCATATGTCTACACCAAATGATAGTATATTAAGATTATAAATTATATATCTAAAGATGAATTATTTATTTTTATTTTATGCATATTAATAAAAAATAAACATAGTAATTTAAAAAAAATCAAGATTAATTGATTGGGTATATATATATAACATGATTGAATTTTTGGATTAGAAGATATATATTTAAAATGATTTTATTATTAAAAGTCAAAAAGAAAAGATGTCATAAAGATTACAACTTGAAAAGTTTGTAACCATTAATTTATGAACCATCCGATTTTAAATGATTTATAATTTTTGAAACATGATACGTCATCTAAAACCCATTAATTTAGGAATCATACAATTTTTTGATAATGAATTAAAATTAAAATGTAAAATAAAAAAATTGCTAAAAATAGTATGTAATAAATGTAGGTTGACTTTTCCTTATTACTATATATGGTAAATGTTAACTCTTATTATATATATATAGATTCAACCAAAACTTAAACAAACATGATAATTATCATAATATCAATCAATAATTCTCACACATGAAACCGTCTTTTAACTCACTATTTATCCACTCACATAATTTAAAGTATTTATCATTTTTAATAACATATTTTCTACTTTTATATTACATCAACTTTAATCATACATTTTAAATATTATTTACATATAAACTCTAAATTTCTATTAAATCTTCATTCAATTCATTTTTCCAAAATTAACTCCAATCCAAATAAATTTAAGAAAAACCAAATATTTTATTTCCAATCCCACCTATAACCCCGAACCAATCACCTGCGCCCTCACATTAAAATGCGTGGGCAGACAATCCCGCCATTTCCCAGTGGGCCCCATTTCCAGCGGTGTTCCATTTGTCCGCATCCCCTCCTCCCCACATGATAACTACCCATTCCTCATCCAATCCGGTAAAGTCCCTCCGATTCTCTCCAGTTCCATCTAAAAACTAACCACGACTCTAACACATAACCCGCCCGACACGCTTTTTACCACCAAACTGCAGAGAAATTCACCTGATTCTCCTCTCTCTCCCTTCAAATATCACTGCTCTCCCTCCCATCTCCATTCCTCCACAATTCTCTCTCTCCTGGCCTCGACCGCTGCCGTCGACAACAACACCCCACCGCGCACCTCCCTCATTATCCACCGGAGAACAGAAAAATGAGAGAAATCCTACACATTCAGGGAGGTCAGTGCGGGAACCAGATCGGGTCCAAGTTCTGGGAGGTGATATGCGACGAGCACGACGTGGACCCCGTCGGAAAGTACAAGGGCGACGGGTCGTCCGGCACGGAGCTGGAGAGGATCAACGTCTACTTCAACGAGGCGTCCGGCGGCAGGTACGTGCCGCGGGCGGTGCTCATGGATCTGGAGCCCGGGACTATGGATTCCATCAGATCCGGGCCGTACGGGCAGATCTTCCGGCCCGATAACTTTGTGTTCGGGCAATCTGGCGCGGGGAATAACTGGGCGAAGGGGCATTACACGGAGGGCGCGGAGCTCATCGACGCCGTGCTCGATGTCGTGAGGAAGGAGGCCGAGAATTGCGATTGCTTGCAAGGTTTTTTGCTTTTCCCTAACAAACGAATTTCGATCCCTCCTTTCTCTTTTGATTTTGTGGCTAAGTGGTTCATATGGATTTTTGTGTGTTTTCTGTTTCATACATGCGTAATCTGTATGTGCATGTTAAAAAAATAGGAAATATATAGAGTATGGGGGCGCTCAGTTTCTGTCCACGTTCATTTTTGTGATTTGTGCTTTTCCTAAATCTTCTATACTTTCCCTGCGTTTGATCTTTTCCGTTTCCTTTGTTTTTAATTATCTCTCTGATAATGCATGTAAATGTTTGCCTTGTCATAGTGCTTCTACGCTCATCTGGATTATGTCAATCATGTGCATTCCGTATTATGATGGATCAAGAACTTGTGCTTTCACTTCATATTTTCCACAGAACTTGATCCGATTCAGATTTATGGAGATATAAATGAATTTTGAATAATTTTCATATATGCTCACTTGGGTTGATTCAGAACAAGGTCATTTGTTGTTTAAAAATTGGTTAAGTGTAGCAGGCTGGTAATTCATTATTTAGTCAATAAACTATAATATTCTGGTGTGTGGTGAAGTTTTTAGTCAGCAGTCCTCTGTTTTAGTGATGCTTTTGACAATACAATTTTCCAAATATTTTTGGCAAAGCTGAATCCTGAAGGTCTTTAATATTTCATAACTCATTTTCTTTATGTTGCTCCAAAGTGTTGCATGAAATAGATTATAACTAGGGAGTGCTGTTCAATGAGATGAAATATAAGGCATGATACTAAACCAGACGCCTTCTGACATAAACTACAAAGAATGTTATCTGGTTTTGCTTTGTAATCCCGTGCACTAATAATGATATGAGTACCTGGTTTTGCATTAATAATGTCATTTGTTAGGTAGTGATGCAAAATTTCATAGATCATGGGTCAATTTCCATTTTGAAACAAATCATATATGAATAATCATTTTGCTGCGTAATTCGCTCTCCCCTTCTACCGACACTTGCTCCAGTATCTGACAATTATTGGGAATTATCTGGTCCTTGCACAGATGGAACTGAAACTATTACACCAAACATGAAGATGTTTCCTTTTCTTTTCTTATGTCACTATCTGAGATGCAAAATTTGCCTAATGGGATTTTATGGCCAGCCATTATGTCCTATGCCAAAGTTACATCAACAATAATTTGAATAGTGTTTACCACCCTTGAATCTTTATCTTTACAACAACAACAACATACCCAGTATATTCCCAACAGGTTGGGGTCTGGGGGGTCAGTTGTACGCAGACCTTACCCTTGTAATTATACAAGGAGGAAATTTGAATAATTGCTGGCTTGTTGCATATAGAAACTAAATCTAATGACATGTCACGGAAGTTGGAACCTTATGGTCTTATCATTCAATTAGCAAATTTTTCGTGTTTTGTTTTGTTGTTCATCACTTGACTGGAACAAAAATTATCTCTCTTCTTTTGTCCAATTGAATCCTATAATTGGTTTTTCGATGAAACAGAAAATTAACTTCTTTGGCTTTTTCTTTTTTCACAGGATTCCAGGTGTGCCACTCACTCGGAGGAGGCACGGGCTCTGGCATGGGCACCCTCTTGATCTCAAAAATCCGGGAGGAATATCCCGACAGAATGATGCTAACCTTCTCCGTTTTCCCTTCACCCAAAGTCTCAGACACTGTGGTAGAGCCATACAATGCCACCCTCTCAGTCCACCAGCTCGTCGAGAACGCTGACGAGTGCATGGTACTTGACAATGAAGCCCTCTACGACATCTGCTTCAGGACTCTCAAGCTCAGCACCCCAAGCTGTGAGTAAACTTACGATAATACCCTTTCTACATTCAAATCTTCCTTGTAAAAACTGTGTGATGTTAAGCAAACTTTTAGCTTTTGCAGAGAATAGCATAAAAAAGTTAATTCAAAGCATAGAGAGTGAATTTCTAGAGATTCATATCAATATGGCAAATTCACCTGACTAAAAATGAAATTTGGGTCCATGTTAGCATTTCCTACGTATCGGGGCCAAAATCGAGCAAAATCTCCTTTTCTTCTTAAATTGACGTGCATATTAAGAAACAAGTAAAGCTAATTATATGCAAAACGGGGGCATGTTACATGCTTTTTTTCTTTCTTTCTTTTAAAGTCAAGGTTCTAAAAAATAAAAAGAAAAGATTGTGTTGAAATATGGCTCAATATTAGCATTTCCTATCTTCAACTTTCTCTAAAATCCTCGGGCGTATTTAGAAATATTTAGAAACAAGTAAGTTTAATTACAACTACAGAACACAAAATGGGGACTATAGTTACCTTGCATATTCTCCACTTTTCACACAACCGAGTCGCACGACAATCATTCACTACTGACCTATCACATCATCATCAAAATCAACAATCATATCACTGGGAAAAAAAAAAACCCATTCTGTCAAAGTCCACATTAACTCATTCTCTTTCCTTTCTTTCTCTTCCTTATCTTTTAGACTCGAAAGGAAACAATAAGAGATTTTTTTCACATTTTCCATTATATAAACTATCTGCAGTTGGCGACCTGAACCACCTAATCTCAGCCACCATGAGCGGCGTCACGTGCTGCCTCCGCTTCCCTGGCCAACTCAACTCCGACCTCCGAAAACTCGCCGTCAACCTCATCCCCTTCCCCCGTCTCCACTTTTTCATGGTCGGTTTTGCCCCTCTCACTTCCCGCGGCTCCCAGCACTACATCTCCTTAACCGTACCCGAGCTCACCCAACAGATGTGGGACGCCAAAAACATGATGTGCGCAGCCGACCCGCGCCATGGCCGTTACCTAACAGCCTCTGCTATGTTCCGAGGCAAGATGAGCACGAAAGAAGTCGACGAGCAGATGCTGAACGTGCAGAACAAGAACTCGTCCTACTTTGTCGAGTGGATCCCGAATAATGTGAAGTCGAGCGTTTGTGACGTGGCCCCCACAGGTTTGCGGATGGCTTCGACTTTCGTGGGGAACTCGACTTCGATTCAGGAGATGTTTCGGAGGGTGAGCGAACAGTTCACGGCTATGTTCAGGCGTAAGGCTTTTCTGCATTGGTATACGGGAGAAGGGATGGATGAGATGGAGTTTACTGAGGCGGAGAGTAATATGAATGATTTGGTGGCGGAGTATCAGCAGTACCAGGATGCAACTGCTGATGATGAGGAGGAGTATGAGCGTGAGGAGGGGGAAGAGGAGCAGTACTGAGAAAACTGGAGGTTTGTTTGTGTAATTGTT